GGAAGCGGCATGCCAGTTTGCATTACTCGACCTGGAATCGGTATGTTTAATTACCATTTTTTTTTTAGAAACAAATTGAAATAAATATCTTAATATGTAAATGAGGTATTGAAATATTGATATTTATTTTTAACATCGACTAGTATAAACATAATTTATTATTTTTTTATTATTATTTAATATTTTATTTTAAAATGAACAACCTTAACTATGTTCTGGTAGCCGTCGGGCGAACATAATGGAGGGTATAAGGATAAAAACATAAGTTTGGATTTTTTATTTCTAAACATACCTATAAGTTTAAATGAAAAATGTATTGTTTAATAATAATTGATTTAATGTTTTAATCAATGTTATTGTATACATTGTAATTATTATTTTCAGTTGTCAGTACATACAGTGAGCCAATACCCGGCTGGATGAGCAACTGTGATGGCATAAATGGTGTGACGATTGGATCCGTAATTGGTGCCATACATGTGGTGTTTGCGAAAAACGTACAACTAGCTGTGGTTCCTTCTGATAAAGTGGCAAACATTATCGTATCAAGCGCTTGGCACACCGGCGTCACTAGGTATTGATTTGAATTAACGGTTGTATCCAAAAACCGCAAACATTTGATTTCAACCCCAAAAAGTTTGGTAGACAAAAATCGCACACTTAATGGATTGCCAGGTAGGTATATCGTACAGCCAAATACCGCACGCTTATAATGGATAAAAAACCTCACTATATAATGTATTTTGTATAGACGAATGTTGTATATATAATTGTAAAGTTAACTGTTACATTCAAAAACTTATCTTATGGCACGTTGATGTGCTCGAAAAAATAACCAGTACATTTGTCGACCGAAACGCGTGGTATAACGTAAACTTTATACATGTATTATAAAAAAAAGTGTTTTTATAAATGGATTTTAAAACTATTGATAGTAATAAAGGTTGTGAAACGGGATGGTCTTAAAGGTCCTATAAACCATAAGAAAAAGAAGAAGAAGATAGTAATAAAGGGGGCAATTTTTTTTTTTTATTTATATTTTAATTTTTTGAAAAAAACGTCGGCAAAAAATTTTAGCCACAAACATTTTTATATATTTTTTTTAAATTTTATATTTAACATTTTTCAATGTCTTTATACATTGTACCTCAATAAATTGTTTTTAAATAAATATGTAGTATAAATAATAAATAATAAGTTATAAATTATATATCATTATAAAATATGCGGTTTTTGGTTACAAGAATTTAAAAAAGTGTGCGGTTTTTGGAGTCGTCGAAATTAACATATGTTATACGAAATTGTTGGTATTTCGATGTATATGTTTGATTATACTATAGTGGTATATAGCCATAAATAATGGACATTTTTTTTTTTTTAAGTTTATTCGAATTAATATTTTAAAACAAAATTTTATATATTGGTTGATTCTATCTAGATTACAAAATAATTGAATTAAATGTTTGTTTACCTTATGATTTAAAAATGACCAACGGTATTTGTATCACACTTTGGTAAATACTTGAAAATGTTTTATTTAATGACCATTGTACCACAAAGGGTTACTATTTTTATGCGAATCTGCGTTAATAATTGTTAATAACTCGTTAATAATTACTTTAATTTATATATTCATAACAATGGCTATCAAATGGTAACCTAGAACTTTAATTTCATATTTCATAAATGTTATCGTTAAAATTTTTTTTCAATACACCTGAGTGTCTTGTATCAGTCATAACTATTCAAAGTTTGTGTTGGAAGGACAGAGAAAAGTTTTGCATATTTCAAGATCCTTTATACTTGGTTTTTTTTTTTTTAATTTGCCTTTGTTCGCACATTTCAACTACTTGTCTATTTGTCTAGCTAAATTCATATGTTTAAATATTTACGTCCGAAATTGACATGGAATATAAATATAAATGAAATGGTTAAACATTAAATGTAAATATTATTTATGAGTTTTTTTTTTTTTTATATACTTTTAGTATAAACAATTCAATACCAGTGTTTAATTACGTATGCGTTAACATGGCTCCCGAAGTACGTCTTTGTTCGAATTTGGATGCCCTTGTAAACATGGGATTAAAAAAAAAATTATTTCCAAAAAAACAGGTAATTGTCATAATTACGTTTATTCGATATAAGATTTTTAGAGTTTAAAGGTTAGGCACGTTCAGAGTTCGATTAAAAATAATACAGGCCTTTGATTAATTAAATGAGGGAGGGGTCTCGATTTTATTAAAAGTCCCGATATCGAAAATCAAAATAAAACATAACTTACCACTAATAAAATATTTGAACGTTTATTTTTTTTCTTCACCACGAATGATCCTGATCATAGATGTAGTTTTCTAAAATATCAGTTATAAAAAACTTACATACTCGAAAAATTCAATTTAAATATGGTTCTGTAATTAAAATTATGGTAGATTATTGATCGGATTTTGGTTTAAATGCTATGTAACAAATCGAGTGTAATAAAATAAATCAGTATTAATGCATTTTTTTCAGTTATGGTACCCAAGAATATATTTTACTTCATCAAAACCACTTTACATTGTTTTATTCATCCTATTGCATTACATACCAGCATTTTTTGCAGATATTTTTCTACGATTTACCAGTCACAAAATAAGGTAATAAAATAAAATGTCTTAGTTTGTTTTCGATGTCGTGTATATTATTATATTATATTAATAATAGACAAAAATAATCATGTACTTAGTGCTGTTAGAATTTATAAAAAAGTTTACAAGTTACAAAATATCCTGTCACCTTTCACACTAATTGAATACAAGTTCAACGATCATAACGTAATGGATTTGATTTCACGACAAACTGATTGCGATAAGTTATTGTTTAATATGAACATGGTCGATTTAAAATGGGATTCATATTATGAAAACTGTATTCGGGGTTGTATGAAATACGTACTTCACGAGTCCGGAAAGCCAAACCTAGAAATTTGGAGACGGTATGGTAGAAATTTATTATTTTCAATATTTTTTTTTTTTTAATAAATAAATATATGGTTTAAGAAATGTATTTATTCGGAAAAAAAAATAATATTTATTTTATTTTTTCAGGATTTTTTGTGTTACACTATGGATTGATTACAATCATGATTATTATAATGTTTTATTTATTTGTTTATGTACTTAATTTTATATTTAAGTAATAAAAGAATCGTTTTACTTATTCAGGGTTTTCGTATAACACAATGGAGTTATTATAATTGTCACATTTTTAATGTTTTATATAGTTGTCCTTGTATTTAAGTTTAAATTATAGTATTTTAAATTTATGAACTATTTTTTTTTTTTATGTCATCTAAGTAACACATATTATAATGAACTGTTACATTTATACTTATAAATAAACATTTTTACTCGATTGATATTTATTTATTTTTTGTTCGTTTCATTAAACTTAGTTCAATATTAATCGTACTTTGATCGAGTTGATCGTATATATATTTCTATAAGAGGTACTATATCGTATGCAGATTAAAATTTAATCAATTATATAGTTTTTACTATTTGTATACGTTCAGTTTTTTAGATTATATATTTATCTAACACATACAGAAGTAATTAAGAGTTTACTGACTTCACTGGTTGATTCTTCCCTTAAGTCATTCAAGATACTACATTATATTTATGAAAAACATTCATTATATTTTTTATGTATAGATTGTATAAATTCTAAAATAAAAAAAATATATAAAAACATATAAAACAATATTTTATCTTTGTATTATGCACTGTTATAAACTTTTCCTGTATATATTTCTAGAATGGGTTATTTTTTATTGTTCCGTACGTATTAATAATTTAATTAATAATTAATACTTATTAATAAACTTAATCAATTGGAAATTACTATATTAAATACGTGATAAATGCGGATTCAACGAAGGAAATTTGCAGTTAAAAAATTGTATGCCAATTGGTACATTAATAGGTATGTCGGTGAATAATTCGTGAAGTTTAAGGGCATGGAGGTGAAAACAGCGGATGAGTTGCGTGATATTTAGATAACGTAAGAAGTCGGTCGTTAATTGTGATCCAAATTTTATGATTTTATTGTGTTTGTTTTTTCTTAAGTCGCAGAACGTTAGTAACAAACGATAATTCATATTTTATTATCATGGATATTAGTTGTAATGTATATAAATTCCGTGATGAATTGTCCATTTGAGCACTTAAATTTAAAAATAAATAAATAAATAATTTGAAACCATTTTTCCATAGAATTCTATTTGTATATGCTTTTTTTTCCGTTTTGCTGTAATCTATCCTAAATAATAATCAGTGCCGATGAGAAATTTTGGGGGCCCCAGGGCTGATTGGTTTCAGATCTCCTTTATTTAAATTTATTTGGCCAAGATATACCTATATACTAATTTTACATACTTTAGTATAATAAAAATATTCAAATTCGTATCTCGTGCTACGGCGAATAAGATTATAGAATTTGTATAAAAAGCTTAAGACGTTGGGCTCTCTCGGAGGTACAGACCCTGAGATTCTAACCCTCATTGCCCAATTTTTATTGGAGAAAATATAATGTTTAAATAGGTTATTTTTTTAAATTGTGTACAACTATTACAATTGAGATCATTTACGGAACAAAAAACTATCACATGATCACCAAAACATAAATATCTAATATTTAATTTTGTATTACGGCTGTCTATTTACAATCGGTACATAATAAAAATTATAAAATTATTTGAGTAATCGTTTGTTGAGGTGTTGAAGTGCCATTTGTGAATTGTTTCGTTCATAAGGTAACCATGTTTATGTATGTTATAGTATACAGAATTTTCTATTAATATATATTATAATGTAGTGCCAATCGTTTGATGCTCTATAGGTTAATGAGAAACCATTAAATAGATTGAATTGGAATAAATCATCATAATATGCACTTATGTTAATAGTGTATTTAATGCCTTCGTTGGTTTGTTTTTAATCACGTATTCTATTCATCCATTGAAGTTTGGATATTATTCGTATACTCTGGTTTTTACACTCGTATAATATTTTGTTAGAAATAGTTTTTAGTTCTTAATTTCAAACAGTATTAAGTGATATTATAATTCGGTTAACTGTAGGTATCAGTTAATGTAAATATAAATAAAAATAAAAATATGATAAAAAAAGTTGAACCTTTAAGCGAGATACAGCGATTTTATGAGGGTTCGAATGTATTTGTTACTGGTGCCACTGGATTTATTGGAAATTTACTAATCGAAAAACTTCTTAGGTATATATTTATATTTTATATTTGTAGCATATAATGTAAAATTAATTGAGTTCCGTTCAATTCTATGATTTTAGATTCTAAGTTTAGCGAGGATTGCCCTGATTTTTTTTTATTTTAATGATTTTTTTATATTTAATTTATATATAAATTGAATTCAAATTTTTTTTTCGGCGGCTGTGATAAGTATTTCAATACTCATCATTGTTATACTTGAAATAAGTATTAGTATATAAGTTGGCTTTACTTTGACATATGAATATCAAAAATAAATATGAGTAAATTTTATTTGTACCGATTTTAATATACACATTTTGATGAAACTTAACCAAAAATACAAAACATTACATAATTTTTTGTTAATAATTAGTAAAAATATTAAATTTTAATGTTTACTGCTTGAAAATTGAATGCGAGATTTTTCACGAATGATTAACTTCTTAGTAGGCAATAAAATAAAAGATTTTGACCCAAAGGTTTCGATCGCTAAACTGTATAAGATTTAGAATATTAAATTTTGATGAAATCGAATATTTCAACAAAATTCGTTGAACCATCCAAATATTAATGTTTATAAAGGTTGATTGATTGAATGTTTTTAGCTCAAAATCGCACGCTTCCTCAAGCAAAATTTTATCCAGATATTTTGCAAATTGCAGTAATAGTGTATTCAACTGCGGTTTATATTGATGTAATTTTCTTCGTTTACAGATCATGTGTAATAAATAAACTTTTTCTTTTGGTCAGACCAAAGAAGAATAAAGAACCGGCGGTCCGATTACGTGAGATGTTTAGTTCTGCAGTTTGTATCATCAAAATTTAATCGTATATCGTGTTATAACTATAAGTTATTATTTATAGTTGAATTTATACTTGTATATGTCTACAGTAGAGTCTTAATGATCCGGACTTGATGGTACCGAACTCTATCTAAAATTTTCGAAAAACTGGATTAAACAGAATATTATGTACAGTGGCGTACATTCAATCTTGCTCGGGGTGGGTGGGGGGGGGGGGGTAACAAAAATAATCGCATCTTTTTTTTTTTTCATTGCACAGATAAATAAGATAAATAACTGCTATAAATAGATATTATTTTATACAACTTTTTTACCAATTTACAGTTTAATTTTACATTACAGTAAATTAATAGCTATTGGAATATAAAAACAGCATAGTTAACAAAACTTTTCAAACACCTATCAATATAATTATTTTATTATCATAATATTTGTATAGTTGTATATTTTAAGTTCAAAGCGTAATAATGAAACTACGAATATATTACACGTCATCAATAATAAAACAATTTTTTTTTTTTTTTGGCCCTAGGGGAGTTTAAGCCCAAGACCGCTCCTCCTCCCGTATGTACGCCACTGGTTATGTAAAACAAACTAGGTTTAGGTAGGAATAGTATTTTTAACATTTTTTTCTAACTATGTATTTTTCAAATTTTTCGATGCCACATAAATAAATATTGTATATATATATAATTGAAATTGCGGTTAAATGTTATTAAATTTTTTTTACTTTTTGCTTTGTCGGTCAAAATTAATCAGATGTTCGAACTATCGATGACCGGATAAGTACGACTCTACAGTATAAATATATGTTTTATTGTTAATTTTTTTTTTGTCTACAATAGTTTGAATTTATAACAATTACAGCTCTTCGACAGATTATGGAACGAGCAACCGGATTTTATCAAAAAGGTGTTCTTGATCCAAGGTGATTGCGTGGAACCAAATTTAGGTTTATCTGTAGCCGATGTAGAATATTTGGTCGCCAACATGGACATCGTAATTCACTGTGCTGCTAAAACAAAATTCAACGGACCGCTCAAAAATACGGGCTTAATCAATGTTCGATCGACTAGAGATTTACTGTTGATTGCTAGGCGTATGGATAGGTTGAAAGTAAATATTCTAAAAAAGAAAAAAAATGTAATATTATAATATGTAAACATATTCTGGCGTGGGTTTGTTTTAAAATACAAATCAATATTTAACTGTTCAAGTATTGTATACAATTATAAGGTAAACCAAATGAATTTTAATTTTAAGACCATTATTATACAGTTAATATATATATTAAATATTCTAATTAGGCGTTATTTTAATTGAAATTAAAATACTTATCGACATTCAGTAATACACAGCAATATGTGTATGTTGTTAACGATGTCCATTGGGCTTACTATTAAAATTGTAATTTTCAAACAATAGTTTTTTGAATTTTAGTTTGTGGTCAAAATACAAAAATACCGTATTATTTGTGTGCCTTTGATAATAATAAAATCAAATTTAATGCATTTGAAAGCTACAACAAATTTATTTTTAATAAATATATTATGTTATTATATTGTAATGAAATTCAATAACTTTCCGAAGTAGAAGTTTATCATTACAAATTTGAAACAGGAAAATAATACCGTTTATTTATAATATTAAATTTTTTTAATTTCGAAGACATTGAACATTTATTTTGTTATGAATGTGATGTTTTGTTGAGAAAACACAGATTTTACTATTCTCTGTAGATTTATTAAAATAGTTACTACGAGTATCAGGGTTTCAAAACGTTAAACAGAAAAAATTAAAAAAAAAAAATCAAAAAACTAAATCAACTAAATAAAAACGAAAATAATTGAATGCCATTAAATGAAATATATAATAGCATTAAACATAATTAAAGATTAAAAATAAACAATAAACGTATGTACATATAATGCAAAAAAAAAAAGTTGCAAATAATGTTATTCGAAATAACATTTGTGTTTTTTTTTTCAACGTGGTGCGCGGAGAGGACATCCTTAGCTGCTCAACGCGGATACTCTACACAAGGTGTAGGTGTAAAATCACAAATAAAACAATTAGCTGTGGCGGTCCAGTGTTAGCGCATCGATTTTCTGCCCATATGGCCGCGGGTTAATCAAAACCTGTACCATCACATATTTTTACTTTCGAAATGTTCACAACCTCGTGTTATCAACGTGGAAACGTATCAAAATTGTATGAATCAGAAGAAAATATCATCATGCAAATATTTTAATAAAACATTATGTCATAATTTTTAATTCAATTTCTCGAAATTTGATTAATTTAAATAAAATATTTAATGTATGAAATATGAAAATTTCCATTAAAAAATGTTATTACAAATAAATGCTTTAATAAACATTTTCTTGTGCATTTAGGCGTTTGTATATGTTTCAACTGTGTTTTCGAACCCTAACCAATCAGTTATCGATGAAACCATACACGACTGTCATATAAAAGGAGATTTGTTGATCAATATGGTTGAAAATATGTCGGATTCGCTTATAGATTCTATAACACCAGAGTAAATATTATACATATTTAAATATCACGTAATTGTTAAATTTTTTGGAAATAAACACTAAAAATATATATTTTGCCTTTTATAAGATGTTTAGGAACATGGCCAAATACATATACTTTGTCGAAATGTGTTGCTGAGAACACTGTTAAGCAATATGGTCAAAATATGCCAATATGTATTGCTAGACCTGCTATTGGTAATTATTAAACAAATAATATATGTTTAATAGCAATAAAAATTGTAGATTCCAAGTGAAATGTGCAATGCATTTGAACATAATATTTTATGTGAGATAAAAATGTTAACGGTTTTTTTATTCGATTTCGAGTTTGAAGTAAAAATGTCTGTTACAACATACATTTATTTATTATTAATTTATTATAATTCAGTTACATTAATTTAATTAAAAAAATTATTAATAATAACATTTTTGTGTTATTTAGTCTTATTTACTGACAAAGAACCGATATCCGGATGGGCAACTGGTCTAAAAAGCCTGACCGGTTTGTGTTTGGGTCTAGGGCTGGGAGTAATACGCGTGTTACCTGGGAAGCGAGATATTACTTTGAGAGCCGTGCCAGCTGATAAAGTGGCAAATATGATTATCACGTCAGCTTGGAATGCTACTAAAACACGGTATTATACATAATATTTTGAAGTAAAGATGTTTTTTTTTTAATTTTTATTATATTTAAAAAATATACATAGCACTAATACTTATTATTATTAATAATAAGCACCATTGATTTTTAATTTCATTATTATAGATATTTAAATTTATTAAAAATGGTTAAGCTATCTATTCAAACTTAAATATACCATAAGTTCTTAGCTTTTTTCAATATTAAATCAAAAAATGATTTTTCTATAACCATTATAATGCCATTTTCCACTCAAGAAAATTAATATTATAAACCTCAAATTTGGTGATTTATTATTGTTTTTTAATTTTATAGCGACACGGTTGTGTATGAGTACATGATTAAAATTACAACTTTTTGCAATTTAACCACTTTTATAAATTCTATTTTAAATTATTTAAAAATAAAAAAAATATTAATAGAAAATAATTAAAATAAAATAATTTCATTTTCAAATCACCAAGCAATATATATTTAAATTCTCTTATAATGTTGATATTTCTGTTCCGGTGTTATCCGTTATTTTCATGAACCAATAATAATATTATACTTGTTAAAAACTTTATTTCATTGGTACAGTAAATCATAAAATAACTCTTCAAAAATTACCAGGACAAATATTATAACAGTTAATCTACTCAAACTCAAAATAATGTTTTAAATTATAAGTATATGTACTCCCCACATATTAGTGAATATTTTAAACAAAACTCGAAGACTACAATTTGCGCTTAAAGAACAATGGTTTCAAAATGTAGAGGAAATTAAAGTGAATACGGAAATATAATTTAATCTTTGGCTTTGACCAGTTCCGAAGGATTTTTGAAAAATTCCAAGATCACTGGGACCTCTGAATATCGTCCGGAGTAGAGTATTTTGAAAGAGATATTTTTCAACAATATGTAACTAAATATTTGTAACCACTCCGGTATTCCTAGTCCAAGTATATTTTTAACAAACATCGTATATATATATACGTATATGTTGCATGCATTGTGTAAAATACATTGTTTAAGTGTTAAAATAATATCATGGATATTTAAAAATATGTATAATTATTGTAATAATACATGTTAAATTTTAATCAAACTTTTATTGGATTTTTATTAGCTCAACTCCTTCAATCCCAGTGTTTAATTATGTGCTGAACAGCACAGCACCGCGACTAATATTTGGCCATACTATGGATTATATTGTCGATTCAATATCGAACAAAAAATTAACATCCGAAAAACAAGTATTTAAAATATAATAATTTTATTCGATTGTTAGCCCGAGTATTTTAATGATGTGCAACAAACATTGTGTAACAAAATATTATTTTGTTTGCAGGTATGGAAGCCGAGTGTAACCATTAACAGTTCAAACGTATTGTATACAATTTTATTTTTCTTATATCATTACGTGCCAGCAGCATTGGCTGATATATATTTATGGATCATCGGAAAAGAAACTAGGTAAATATTTTATAAGCAAAACATTAGTGAGTTCTATAGACCGTGAAAACAGTCATTCCATATAATGTTATTATTAAACTAACCGATTGAAATTTAAAATCGTGACTGTAATAATCGCCTTATCACTGTTGGATCGTTTGATTATATTGTTGTTTATTGTCGATACGTGATCTATAGAGAGTATTATCCCGTATGTGTTTCCTTATATCGCAAGTATATCCTTGGACCAAGAACAGGAACTGTTGAAATATTTCGTCACTGGTTCTTAGAAAATAAAATAACTGTTCCGATTCTATGTTGGAAAAAAAAGATACCGGTTCTTGTTATCAATCAAATAGGTTTAATATAATTTATTATCCAAAGAATATACTGTAATATACCATCATTCACTCGTTAAAGTGCATTATAGTAATAATATAATAGTAGTAAACGAAAAATTATTCTACAATATATTGCTACCAATCAACGTAACTCCCTGTGAAATATAGGAACACAGTGTTACTATATAAAATTGATCTAACAGTTTTTTCAACGGTTATTTTATTAACGGGAAGAATAATTTCGACCAATTTAATATTAACTACGCGTTAAATCATCGGTTCAATATTCTATGTTTATAACCATTTAATAAATGTACTTGAAAGGTGCGAGAGTTTTTTTTTAAGTATTTTCTGTTTAATTTGCTATGCTCCGTGGAAAAATATTACAAAAAAACATCATATTGTTATCACAGGGTAGTTAAATTATGTAAAAACTTGGACATCATGATAAGAGAAATTATGTATTTTGTGAATTCGGAGTTCAAATTTGACGATAAACATTTACAAGCACTTATAATGACACAGAGCGATAAAGATAAAAAACTGTTTGCTTTCGATCTATCTGGTATGGAATGGGAAACGTACTTAATGAAATCAATAAGTGGAAGCAGAAAATATGTTCTCAAAGATTCAGATGATACTACAGAAAGCCAAAAAAGATACCAAAAGTAAGCTATAATATTTTTATCGATTTTTATTAGTTAATTTATTAAAACCGAAACTAATATATTTATTTAAATTTTTTATTTTTTTCAGGATTTTAATAATTTACTATATTTTTCATTCAATTTTAAATAGTTGTATACTGTACGTATTGTATAGACTGTTGAAAATTATTTTTACAATAAATTAACGGTCTATTTGTGGTATGGTAGATATTTAAGTTATAACTATAGTTAAAAACGTTTATACATCGCATGGGTTGTTGAATATGATGATTGCAATAAATAAACGGTATATATTTGTAAAAAAAACAGATTTTTGAGTTATCTGTTATATGAAAATGTAACAAAAACTATATTTAATCAATTAATTAATTGAAGTAATGAGGTATAGCTGATTTCGAGTGGAAGTATTCATAGCGTACGGTGTCGTACCTGAATTATTATTCGTATTATGGATCTGAAATCAAAAATAAATCTTCATGTTTAAAAAATCGTTCTAAATGAGACCAGAAGCAATATGCATTATAACATAAGCACATATATCGTATTGATTACGTTAAAAAAGCGCTTGCCTGAAAATTCTCAACAGTTAGTACAGCTTTCCAACCATATTTATTTTATACGTGTAATCAAATAAAATAGAAACCGCTTGTAATGAAACCGGTTATGATGACAAATCAATATTATTGATTTTAAATTGTGGGTGCCGATAAATCTCCTCAAAAGTTTGTACTAATTTTAAACGGTTGTATGACGGTTATATTATATGACGTCTGTTCTTATAACGGCTGTTTTTGGTTATTTTAAAAAATATTTTATTAATAATGATTGAATTAAATTTAATGACAATAACATAACAACCATGTATACTGATTGTGTTGTTGTTTCGTTAAAAATTATATTGCTTTGAATAAGGTAAATTTAAAAAAAAATTAAAAAAGCTAAATAAAATACAGTAAAAGATTAATTAATATAAATAAGAACTTAATTTTAAAATACATACATGCTTTTTTTAAATTTTATGTATTACTTTATTTACACAAACATGAAATACAAATTACGTTCATCCAAATAAAAAATTGCAGTTTACTTTTTTTTATAATGACTCAGTTAATAAGACCAATATTGACCGGTTTTTTTAATGTTATTATAAACAGTGTCTATTATACATATATTTTTTCAAATCAAAAACGTATGCAAGGGGAAATGTAAACGTTAGATCTCCCTAGACATTGTTTTTAAATCTTATAAAATAGTGTTCTTAGTATAATAGCGTAAAAACGATAGAAAAAAATAGCTATGATTTTTAAAATTTGTACTTTGTACTAATTTGTACTCAATTGACATTATTTATCAATAATCAAATAATAATTTTATTTAATATGATAATATTTTTAGAATTTGAACCATAAATCTATTTTCGAATTATTATGTGTATTCCATTCATTAATGCGTTCATAAAGCGATTGGAAGACATATTTTTGGAACATAGAACAGTTTTTAATGGTTAGAAGATAATAAGTAAATACAATAATTGTATACTTATTATTATACTAAATAAATTTACTATTTCATGTTAAAGGTGTGTTATGTAAAACTGTATTTATTTTTATACGAGTCAGATTATCCACCAATTGAATTTGATGACATAATAAAATTTTATTTCTCTGATACTTGATATTGATATTGTCAAGACCATGTTACAAATGTGAAATTTTAAACTTAAAATATTTAATACACAAAGACTGGAATATACGCAATAAAATACTGTAGTGAACTTATTTATCCTAATTCATCAAAATTATTTAAAATATTTTGTGCATTAACGGGTAATTACTGGTAATTACATGAAAAAAATGTTTTCATGTTAAAATAGGTTATAGACCTAATTAAGAAATACTGAGAAAAAGTTATATTTCTTAATATATTTTTTATGAGTTAGTTATTTTGTATGAGTTAGTTTTGGGCTGTGAATTTGCATGTTTTTTTTTGTATAAGGAAATGGTACTCATAAGCCCGTACCCCGTACCGGCTAAACATTTTTTTTGTTGTTTATAAATTAAATACGATATCTTATCTTGTATACT